CGTCTGATGTGTATTGTATTTGTGTAGAAGTTTGTCTTCAAATTTAAATAATCTTGGAGGCCAAGTTGCCGTTTGTCTCCCAGCTGACCAGCACGTCCTCTTCCATCAAGTTTAACGTTTCGTTAATGTAAGCGACTAAGTATTTTTATTTAACGAAGTTTAATAATGAATCATATTTTGCTCCTTCAAGTTCAAAATGGGGCTTATTAAAAATTAAATACAAAATTCACATTTGGGGTTTTGGGGTTGGGCAACATGCATTTACTAAGACATTTCGTAATCAAAATCAACCCAAATTAATATCAACAAAGCAAACCATTAAAATATCCACCCAAATTAACAAAATCGTAACGGCCGTTTACAACATAACCACGTTATATACCCGCTAAACTTCCGTCACACGTAAAACCAAAAAAATTAAATTGAAAATGAAAAATCGAAGATGCTTCCAACTGCATAAATACCTCTGTCTCTCTCTCTTTCTCTCTCTCATGTATAGTTATCTTTACTTCCCTCTAGCTCCTTCTAACAGTGAATTTTCTTGGGAAAATGTTCGAGAATTTCGGATTCTCGGAGCAATTTGGGAAAATAAAGCCACAAAAAGAAGCTCGGATGGAAATGACGACTGAAATTTGAATTTCTCATTCGATCGTCATTTCACCTGAATTTCTCTTCTCCGATTGCTAGCTTCTTTATGTAAGGATACATTTTGCTGTTTCTTCATTTTTCTTAAGTTAATTTCCTGTATAATATTTCTGATTTAATCTGCTTGCTTCACTGGGAAAATGTGGATAAAATATCCAAACATTTGCCCTATAGGAGGGAGAGAGCCTGCTCTCTCTCTCTCAGTCACGCACACAATTTATGCTTTTATTAATCCTAGCCTGATCCTTTCGTTGCCAAATGCTATTCTTAAGACCTGACTTTTTTGCTGCATTTCTTAGATAATAGATATATAATGTTTTGTTTTCTGAGGGATGAAGACAATGAACAGAACAGGGATTGATTTGAGGGTTTTAGTATGTCATTCCAGAGATACTTATGTCAATACGCATTTGTTTTATTATATTCCTCATAATCCCTTAAAATCTAATTGGAAGATTCTTTTGCATTTTGTAGGAAGCTGGATTCAGACTTGCAGGGAAGGTAATTTCATTTCAAGCAATCCAAGTTGTGACTTATACCAAATGTTAGGTACTGCCTAAAACTCCAGGAACCAATAGTCTGAGAAAAAGATTGCAGGCTTGAAAAGAACAATAAGAGGAAGATCATTATATTTTCATCAGCTTTGATTGTTGTGGGACTTGGGGTTTTGGATTACCCCATTTGTTAGTTTTCCTGAGGGCATATGAGAATAGTTTGAAGCTGTAGTCTGATTTGAGTTACAAGGGCTTTAAATTTAGAGGACCAACAATGTCGATAGCCAGTGTAGCTCTTAGTCCTGTGTATGAAGAATCTTTTAAATTTCCCTGCAATTTCACCGGCCAATATGGTCCATTCTCCGGTGACTCAATTTTGATATACCTCAGTGTTGGTGGGTCTGTAGTTCCTATGTGTGTAACAGAGTCGGATTCCATTGCTTCAGTGAAACTGAGAATCCAGGCCTCTAAAGGTTTCTTTGTGAAGAAACAGAAACTAGTTTTTGAAGGAAGAGAATTGGCTAGGAACAATTCATGTGTCCGGGACTATGGGGTAACAGATGGGAACCTATTGCATTTGGTACTGAGGCTTTCAGATCTCCAAGCTATTACTGTTAGGACTGTATGTGGCAAGGAATTTGAATTCCATGTTGAGAGGAGTAGAAATGTGGGTTATGTGAAGCAGCAGATTGCTAAGAAAGGGAAAAGTTTCGTTGACCCCAAGGATCAAGAACTGACATGTGATGGTGAGGAGCTCGAAGATCAGAGACTCATTAATGACATCTGCAAAAGTAATGATGCTATGATTCACTTGCTGGTTAGGAAATCTGCTAAAGTTAGGGCTAAACCAATAGAGAAGGATTTTGTAGTGTCTGTTGAGGCGTTAAATTTGAATGGGGAGAAGACTGCTTTAGTAAGGGATTTTGCGGAATGTCAGGTTGTAGAGAGAAGTCCATTGCAAAGAGAATTCCTTCTGGAACCTCTAATTGTAAATTCTAAGATTGAATTGTCATTGGGGATTAAAAGGCTAATTTACTCTACTTCTGATGGGTTAGAGAGAGGCAATGAGCCAGTTCAGTCTTCAGAGGGATCCGGAGGAGCTTATTTCATGCAAGATTCATCTGGTCTGAAGTATGTTTCTGTCTTTAAGCCAAATGATGAGGAGCCGATGGCAGCAAACAACCCTCGGGGGTTGCCCTTGTCACTTGATGGTGAAGGTTTGAAGAAGGGTACACGGGTGGGAGAAGGGGCATTGAGGGAAGTTGCTGCTTACATTTTGGATCATCCAAGGAGTGGGCCTCGTACATTTTACCACGAGGAGAAGGGCTTTGCTGGAGTTCCCCCCACAGTTATGGTCAAGTGCTTGCACAGAGGATTTAATCATCCAGAAGGTTATGAGTATGCTTCCAAGAATGTGAAGATTGGATCGCTGCAGATGTTCATGAAGAATAACGGAAGTTGTGAGGATATGGGTCCTCGTGCTTTCCCAGTGCATGAGGTGCACAAAATTTCTGTTTTGGACATAAGGTTGGCAAACGCAGATAGGCATGCTGGAAACATATTGGTCATCAGAGAGGGTGAAGAAGGGCAAATTGTGCTTATTCCGATTGATCATGGCTACTGCTTGCCTGAAAACGTAAGTGTCTAATTCTTCTTTTATCGATGCTTAATTAGAGTAGGAGATATTGGTTTTTGTTCCCATGTCATATTGTTCGAAGAATTCAAATCGATTTTGGAGCACACAGAAACTCTTTTGTAGTTACCGTTTCAAGCTTCTACAATTAGAACTTTGGGAAGAGCATGCATGTCTCTTGCTTACTTTTAATGTGTAAAATGCAGTTTGAAGATTGCACATTTGACTGGCTTTACTGGCCTCAAGCTCACCAACCATATTCTTCTGATACCCTTGAGTACATCAAATCACTAGATGCTGAACAAGATATCGAACTATTGAAGTTTCATGGATGGGTCTTACCACCTGAGAGTGCCCGCACCCTCCGCATTTCCACCATGCTTCTGAAGAAAGGTGCGGAGAGAGGACTGACTCCCTTTGCTATTGGAAGCATCATGTGCAGGGAGACCTTGAAGAAGGAATCTGTCATTGAACAGATCATTCAAGAAGCACAAGAAGCTGAGCTCCCAGGAACAAGCGAAGGTGCATTTCTCGAATCTGTGTCATCAATCATGGATCGACGCCTTGATGAGCTTATATACTGAATATCATGCATTAGTGCATATATATGGTACTGTATATGCATGGATGACAGGCCTCTAGGCTCCATCCATCCATCTGTAATGGACTGCAACTTCTTTTTTACTGTAGATATATGCTGGATCGTTGCATCTACCGCCTAAGTAACTACAACATCTCTTCCTCCATTCCACTTATGTCACTTGGAAGCATGTTGGGAAAAAATTTATAAAAAAAAAAAAAAAAAAAAGTGCTTGTGTTACTTACTGTATGCATATTTCTTAAACTTGGGTTAGAGAAATAATAAATGATATATTAGAACATAATACATACTTCATTCATTGTCCAATTTACTTCAGTTTTTTATGCTGATGCTTTGCTAGCTGTATATGTTTCTCAATTGCAGTTTCTGAGTTTAGAATCTAGATCATACAACTTTAAATATTTAGTGGGGTTATAGGGAATAACAATTCTCAAGATGCAGTAAATGTGATAGGGTGATTTTACTTTTGACTGGTGTTGGAAAATTGAGCCTGTTTTGTATGTATGTATGAGGGAAAAGGGGGGGTGTGTGGGGGGAATGGAACGGAAGCAGTATAATTTGGGCCCTCCACGTGAAACGTGAAAACTCATACTCAGAAGAAGAAGCATACATAATAAATGATGAAGATCAATATCAGTATGGGGTAGGGAACATGAGCCATGTGAGAATTTGGTGTTTGGTGGCAAAAAAATGGAAAAATGTTCGAACTCACATTCACATCAACTTGACTGGACAACCACATCCCACCATAGCTGGCCATGCTCCTTTCCTTTCGCTTGGTCTTTGGAAGATGGCCGCCAGACATACCTGGCCAACTTTCTGATTTATATAGTACAGGACAAGATAGGATAGATAGGTAGGAGGAGGAGGGCCAAAGAAACCAGCACTTGGTTTGACCCAAACCTAATGACAAAACAAAGAAACTAGTTGCACCACCACATAATTCAATTTCACAAAGTCTATAGGTTTATGGCAAAGTCGCTAGCTTTTTTTATGGTGGGTTTTCTGGGTCGGAAGAGGGAATTTTAACAAGACAATCATTATTCATATTTCAGATTCAGTCATGAAAATGTGGCCTCATCTGAGGAGCTACTTCTCACTTCCACGAAGCTCCCAAGTCCCCACATCATTTTTCTTCCCACCGTCACGACCCCACAGACAGACACCAAACACTAATTGAAAATGGTGACGACGACCACAAAGATCCAATCATTCAAATGACAATAGAGTCAATATCTGAAATTGACATTATTGTCCTCCAGTTTGTTCGCATTCCACGCACGCACATAATTTCTTACATTATTTTACTACACGAATGATGCGACGGGAGTTCTCGTATACCAATACCACCAACATCATTGAGTCAAATGACTAAAAAGAACATTGCGACTTATTCTCATATAATGTTGAAAAAAAATATACAACAAAATATAAAGACTATATTCATACAGTTACCAACAAAATAGAGCATTTACCCACTAATGGTTTACTGCGGACTGTAATTTTAGACCGAAAGCCCGGCCAAGAATGCCACTCCGGTAGACGGCAACCACGACGACCCATATATAAACTGTGCAACCGTAAACTTACCCGCCTCCACCGGGGAGGTAATCACCCTGTACCCGGGCCACTTCACCCGCTGCCCCACTGCCCCGCCCGGCCCAGAATTCATGTATTCACCGTAGTACAGCGTGTCAAGGGCAAAAGTGGTATTCCACTCGAGCCATCCACGTGGATGTACGTGATCGCCAATATACGATAACATGTACACGACCCTCGAGTACAACTTCCACGGACGGCCCAGATACGTCGGGAAGCTACCCTTGGCCGCCTCGAGATCGGAGGTGGCGAGGATCCGGCAAGCGTGGATCGAAATGCCCGTGTTCTGATTCGGGTCCTTTCGGTTTTGGGCGGTGATCGTGTTCTTCTGAGAGGGCAGGGGCTTCCGGGCGTAGATACTGCAGTTTTGGAAAACTACAGCGGCGTTGCCGAAAATGAAGTCGACTGTTCCGTAAATGTCGGTTTCCCGGATGAACTGGCGGTTGGAGTGGACGTAAAATGTGTCTTGGTATCCGATGATGTTGCAGCGGTAGACGACGGCGTGGTCGGCCCCGATTCGGAGGGCTACGGCTTGGTGCTTGCTGGGCCCGGCCCAATTCTCAAACGTTATGTCCCGTGCAATAAAACCAGCTCCAGTTGCCGCTGTGGACAAACAACAACAAATAAATTCTCAATAAACGCATCATCTAATTACTTCTACGGCCTACCTACCCACCGACCTCAAATAATAATACAATTGGGTTGGGATTTGACTGAATTGGGTGGATAGGAGATAATAATATTAGGTAGGAGAAGAGAAGAATGAGAAGATTCCACTTTGGAGGTAGAATTGTTGCTTTGGCATGAAATGACACAAAGACACTAATATTCAATTCTTTCTTTATATGCCAATTTAAAATTCCCAAACCTCCAAATAAAGAATAATTGTAGATGCCAACTAATATTTCAAGTAAAAGTTGTAGGAAAAAAGCTTAACAATTTAACAAGGGCCTCATTTAGAATTTTCGCAGTTCAGGTGGTTAGAAAGGATATGAGGTCAGACAAGCATCACCAAAGTTGCATGAGAGAGAATACTTGTATACAACAACAACAACAGGACACGTGCAAGTAGTAACTCATTTCATGCATGGTAATGAATAATGAGGATATGAGAGTAAATATGAGAGTAGATTAGATTAAAGTAGAATTATCTAGTGAAAACAATGATCAGGCAGTAGGGTGGGAAGAGAAAATTACCGAAGCTTGCTGTGTGGAAAGTGGTGATGCTCTGAGAAACGCTTCTCCCACCTGTAATCACTGTTTTGCCCTTCCCATCTCCAATGAACATCAAGTTGGTTTTCTTCCTCCCCACCTTCAAATTATCCTCTTCGTACCTGCAATTAAAAAATTAAAAAAATTAAAAAGAAATGTAATTTTTACTAATTACTAAAAATAAAAATAAAAATAAAAATAAAAAAAAAGGTTCCACGCAAAGCATTCCTTTGGAGTTTGGAGTTTGAAGTTTGAAGTGGATGCCAGCAAGAATTAAATTGACCCGCACATGCCAGTAGATGTCACATTACATGCACAAATCCATCGTGTGCCTTACAATTTATGACTGTGGGTAGAAAACAACGTCTATGCAAGCATCATCCCAAACCAATCCAATAATACGAGTACGACCACTCTCCACCGACAATCACTCACATCACCAAAAGATAAAATAAAAAATTCATTCTCCATTAATTAAACTCTAAAGTACCACAGGAAAAGGGGTATTTTCGTAAAACCTAATTTAATCAGTCAGAAAGGGGGGCGGGGAGGATTAATATTAATGCAGTGAGTCACATGATTATACTTCTGTGTTGTGTGTGATAAAAGGGAGCCCGACTTAAAGTCAATGCACAAATGAATACACAAAAGGAATTTTATTACCAACAAAAATAAGCGCTTTTGAGAAAATCTTTTCACGGAATAATGGCTACCCAAAGCAAAGCAACCACTCCATCGGATGCCAAAAGTGATTAATTTTAATTAAAATCCAAAGAACAAAGAACAGAGCACCAAACTCAGCTTTATGAGTGAGTGAGTGAGAGTGGGATCAATTACCTTCCTGCCCTCACGTAAATAACGATCCGGCGAGAACTATATTCAGGCGCCTTCTTGATCGCCTCGGCGATCGTCTTGTACGTTCCGTTGCCGTCTTTCGAGACAATGATGTCGGCCTGTATCTGCGACACCGGCACCGACAGCAACTTCCTCTCCCTACTGCTCAGCCATCTCGGCAAATCTCGAGAGACATCGGCATTATCTCCCATGATGTCGCGCTCCATCGAATTCAGCAACCTCCTCCGGTTCTGAATCGGCACCCCAGAGAAATCGTCGCCGGCGCCGATTGCCGAGTAGATCGCGAGGCAGTTGCTCACGAGCTCCGACAAGTCCCTGAGCCTCGTGTCCATCTCGCTCTTCACGGGCCCACTCGCCTGCGAGAACCCCTCCCCGCACGTGTCCTGATTAGTGAGTGCCGCGCTCAGCCACGTCAGCACGTCCTGGGTGGATGCAGCGGCAGCGGCGGCGGCGGCCCCGGGGGCTACGGAGGTGAGGGAGCGGGAGAGGGCGTCGATGGAGGAGTCGAGGAGCTCGAGGCAGTCGTCGTAGGCGGAGCGGGAGTGCGGGTCCATCTGGAGGTAGGAGAGAGAGGAGGAGAGGTAGAGGGCTTTGCTGAGGTGCTGCAGCGTCATGTTGAAGGAAATGTGGACGAGGTCCTGCTCGGACGCGTGGACGGAGCCGGGGAAGTCGAGGAGGGAGTTGACGCAGAGGGAGCGGAACTGAGTCTTGGCGCAGGCGTCGGAGATGGCCTGGGTGGGCTTGAGGTGGGGGCCGGAGGATTGGGGGGAGGCCTTGGAGCGGACGACGAGGAGGAGGACGGCGGAGACGGCGGAGGCGAGAATGAGAGCGGCGGAGAGGAGGGAGATTAGGATGAGCTTTTTTTTGTTGTTGGGTTTGGAGTTGGAGAAAGAGGAGGGTGGGTTTTGGGGTTGGTCGGCCACGTGGTGCATGGAGGAGCCTCCCGGGTCCGACGGTTGGAGTCTGCCGTAGCCCATTGTTTTGATTTCTGTTGTTTTCGCCGGAAGAGTTAAATTGGAGAGATGGGCAGGTCTGAGTTTGAGCAGAGAGAGTGAAAGAGGGAAGATTGAAGTGTGGGGTTTAAAGATAGGGTGGGGGCTGTGTATTTATATATAATTAATTAATTAACTTGTGAATTAAATATTAAAATATTAATAAGAAGAAGAAGACGGGTGTGTATGTGCGTTGGTGTACGTACGTATGTATATATGATGAAATGGAGAGATGGAGAGAGAAGGGGTGGGGACGAGAGGAGAATAAAAGAGGTTGGTGTGAGGTCTGTGTCGAAAGGGGGATTAGCTGGCTGCTACTATTATGAGTCCCCAGCGTAATGCAACGGGGGTAGGGATGTTTTTTTCCACTAATACAGAGTCACAGTCTGTCTTGTTTTTTTAGGTCGAAAGAGTCACAGTCTTACTTTTTTGGGGTAAAATAGTCAGAGTGTTACTTTAGACAACAACAAAAGAGGTTTCTATTTGTAATTTTTAATGAAAATAGAGTTTGGTTTTTAATTATATATAGAGTTTTGAACAAGTGGAAGGAGATGGAACATGTACTAGAATTTAGAAAGAAACTATATGTTTGGTTGACGTCAAAATCTTTAGTTAAAGTTAAGGATAGATAGTGGTGTGTGTCTGCCTGCACATCACAGATTCACAGTGCATGCATTGCATTGCATGATTCTCTTAGCTCTTAAGCTAACTTGAGACTGTGCTGCTCAGTAGTAAGTATCTTGTTGCGCATGACATCTTTTTCTACCTTTTTTAAACCACATTTGTTCCTATCTTGTATTCATTCACATGTACAAATTAGGACTAGGGTATAAACAAATTTAACTAGTTTTTTTTTTTTAATTTTATTTAAACTATATTATTTTACGAGACGTACCAAAAGAATTCAAACTTGAATCAAATGGTCCATAAGAAATCATTAATATATGTATAAGATTTTGAGAGATTATTAGTGTTTGATGTATACTTGTAATGGAAGCGTGGATGTGATGTATACTTGTAATTTGATGGCACTATTAACAATATATGTGAATAGGACTGACATTGATATACCTTTTTTGAGCTTTGATATATCACAAGAAATTGCTTACAAGTTTAAACCTATTTTCCACAACGCACGTACGTTCTCTCAACTCAACTCTATCTTTGTCTGCATTATGTCTAGACATTGACCACCAGTACTACACATGAATGCTAGTGTTTAGCTGTTTAGGGATTTTAATTTGGTCCATTTTTGCATATTAATTTCTTTGCGCACGTAAGAAGTAATGGTGTTTAAAGACTTTGTTTAGGTCATAAATCTAATGGGAGAATATGTAGATTGACTTTGTTTTCAGTGCATTTACTTTCTTTGGGGTTGGGGTGGGAGGGTGTTATATATCGTGATCGATCCTGCCAAGATTTAAGTAGAAAAGAGCCCACCCTACCTTCCTCATTCATGCAAGTAGAATGAATTAAAATCACTTCTCTAATCACAACTTAGCCAAATTAAGATTGCTTTTTATAATTAAGCAGAAATTAACAAGGTACCGTATGGCACATTAGTTCATTTTTCAACTTTTTTAATCATTAAAAAAAGGACGTGAGGCCCGACTCCATGATGTAGGCCTTTGTATATATACCCACCTTCGTGGAAAGCGATCTGATGCCAGAATATTTTAGATTCTCATTCTAATAATTGAGACTTGTACAATTTTCAACAGAAAAATTAGAAAATCTGCTCAAGAACAAAATGCAATTAAATTACGTTATCTTTTCCCTTTGGTCATGACTCATCATGTATCATAGATTCATATCATATAAGTTCGAATTTAGGACCGAATTTATTAAAATAAGGAACAAGTCAATACAAATAAATAAAAGGGGGCGCTTTGTGCCAAAGATGCATGCAGTTAGGCAAAAGAAAAAGGGACATATATAAAAGGCGATCGATTACCTTACGAGGAAGGCAAGTCCTTTCCCCTTTCCCCTTTCCCCTTTGCCCTTTGCTTTGGTGGTGAATAAAAACGCTCCTTGGAAAAAAGCAATTCGGGATTTGGAAGAAACCTGTGACAATATATTGTGGTATTTCTCTCTGAAAATCATATATGAATATAATATTTTTCTTTTACCATTTATTGTGGACTTCAAAGACAAAATTCAACAAATCTTCTTGTGGCGAAACAGGGTTAGCAGCAGTATGTAACACGTAAAGCAGATACAGAAGGAGTCCCGATCAAATTTCGCCGACAGTGAATTACAATTAGAATACTTTCGCCATGGTTCATGAGCACTCACGACGACTTTGACTTTTTGTTTGTTTGTTTTTCATCTTTTATTTCTTCGAATTCGTATGAGAGAGGACCTTTTGTTGTATCTCATGATGTCATTTTTTGCATTACTCTTGTGTTTGGTTGGCTAGAAAATTGTTACAAGTATGAATATGGAAACGGAGACAATTCCAGTTTCAGTTCAAATTTAAAATTGTTACATCACATCAGATGCGTTTTACTCGTACAATGCATGATTTATTTATGAATATGCTTTTACATTTTAAGGAAAGCCAAAAAAGAAGGTGGTATGGTTAGTTAATGATTAAAATGCATTAATATTGAAGAAATAATAATGAGTTGTTTAAGTCCAACGTGGATCTATAGAGAAAAGGAAGGATTTGACCATAGCAATGAGAGAATTACTGGTCACACCACCACCACCAACAGCAAGCTAAAAGCAAATTAACAAAACCAAAAAGAGATTTGGAAGCATTGCATGCAAGTGCATGTGACTGCTTTCATTATGGTAGGGGACACAGGGCCTATTGCTCCCTTCATAATCACATGATTTGTTTAACTATTAACACATATATACACATCACCTCATCGACTAATTATTTTTGGAGGCACATATTATTAATGCTGTAAGATTTTCTAATAAGATTTTGCAGGCAAATTATTAAGACTGGAGAGGTGTGGTGGCTAAGCCCCTAGCATTTTTATTTGTATGAGTTGTGGAGCCGTCCACATGCTTCCCTAACGAAAACATCGCAGTACATGGATCAGATTTTCAATTCAAGTATCTATATCCATATGCCTAACTAATGAGTATCACCCAATTAATGAGACAATATATAAATATATAATAATATATAGGTGAGTGTTCTAATCATGGTTGCTTTTGATAATGATTTGATAATGATCTTTTAATTTTTTTGGAAGGAATAATGATCTTTAATTAATACAAACAAAATGGTTTCTAAATATTTGATTGCTTTATATATATATATATATATATGTTTTCAGCCGTCAATCCCTCCACAATATTTAACCGGACTAAAGACAAGAATGGTCATCCTCCTTATTCTTTCATCTTGTTTCACCTTAAAAATAAAAATAATTTTTTTTACCACCGAGCAAGTAATTGATTTGTCCAAAGTTTAATCAAAAGTTAAGTTTGTTAGTGTGCAAATTTACGCGCATCTAATTACACGCCAAATTCTATTTGTAGTTGTCGTCGACTTATATACGGTAAATATCTAATCTCGTAGGTCCTTAAGTAGACATTAGTTATTTTCGTAAACACCATAAATTCACGATTTCCATCACTTGCAATAAGTATATGATTATAGGAGAAAGTGAGACTAGTGTAGTGGTTTGGAGCAAATGTATGTTTTTTCAGAAAAGATTATGAGTTCGAGTCTTAATATTCTTGTTATGAAAAAGGTGTCCTTAAAAAATTAGATGATTATATGAAAAGAGGGAAGAGGGGAGTCATTATCATGTCTATTAAAGCAAACTAGCTTCCCTTTGAGTTTGAGCCTATTATGCTATGAAAGAAAGTCACATCAAAAAAAGCTAATGCAAAAAGAAAGCGAGAGTAGCTAGGTATTACTATATTTGATTATACTGGGCAAATCACTTTCCCAATTGAAAAAAAAGTAGGAAGAAAAACATCAGGATTCACGCAAAGATGGTTTGAAGTCAAGTTAACTATAATAACAGCGGCACTTGTAGTTTAATGAATTTGGGTCGGTGTCACATAGGACCTTTCATTCACAAGATAAAACTGACGAAAACAACTTCCACCAGCCCTAGTTTTGCTTAGCTATATTCACTTCACTGACCAAGGAGGATTAGCTTAATTAACTATCCATATATATATATATATATATATATNNNNGGAGAGAAAAAGAGAAGGATGGATCATGGATTAATGGAATGAATGGGCCATATCCCATATGCATTTTGGAGTTTTTGGACCACATTCTATCACGAATATCTTACCCCTCCCTAATGTTTCTGAGTTTTTGGACCACAAATAAAAATATTATTTCAGGTTCCAAATTTATTATTGAAATCTTTAGTCATATACTCATTCTATCACGAATATCTTACCCCTCCCTATTGAGTGTTTTGGATTTTTTTATGAGGTTTTGGGGTTGAGTTTGTTTTAAGAAATCAATGACAGTTCTTTTTGTTATGTTGTAAATGAGCTTTGGGTGTGTTTCTAAAGTCCATTTCATATATATGATTTTTTAATAATTTGAGCTCTTATATTAGGTATAATATTATTTGTATCGCATCATCAATCAGTTAGCTACTGCAATAACGCGTGAATGAATAAGATTAGTCATAAACGTGGAATTTGGAAACTTCCAAAAACTATCCTATTAGCGAAAGCAAGAAAGATAAGTGGGCCCAGGCCAGGCCCATGACAGAGAAGAGAAGCCCCATCACACGAGGCTAGGCTAACCCCCCTGTCGTAAAACGATACGACCGCGTACGCGTACGGTGTACCCTTCATACTTGATAAAGGTGGATAAGTAAATAAAACAGATGGAGAGATGGAGGTGCGGGGAATCGAACCCCGTGCCTCTCGCATGCGAAGCGAGCGCTCTACCATATGAGCTACACCCCCTGTTGTGATTAACTCTCCTGAAAAATATATTATCATTGAGCTAGACAACAATCGTATTATTATATTGGGTGGGTGGGGGACATTTTGCATAACATTCTAAATCTGTAAGCGTTGAACTTGCCATTTGTTTACAAACAAGCGGACCGATTGCATCAGTTAGCCAGCGACAGACGGAGAGAGAGAGAGAGGAGAACTCCATCAAAATT